GACCGTAAACTTGGCCCTGGACAAGTACAGGCTTGCACTCTGCAGCAGTGATTGTCTGAGCCGGTCAGTACCTGGCCTTTAGTTGCTCTGACTCATTCCTGACTCATCTACCTTGGTTTGAGTTGCAGGATTCCAGTGCTGGCACCATGGACATATCTGCCGCCTTGTCAGCTCGTGCCAGAGATTAGTCAGCCCCGACAAATCTTCCAGAAACAGCCATGGCCGATGATGCGGATGTGCGTCTCACCACCGTGTCCAAGGACGGCGAGAAGCTGGGCAACTTGATTCCCAGCGGATCCATGACTGCAGCTGAAGGCAAGGACGCCATTGCCGGCAAGTGGAAGATCCCTGGCGTGGCAGAGCCTGTGGATTTGAAGGTTTCAGGCTCGTCCATCAAGTCTGTGCAGACACCTTTCGGGAATCAGCCTCTTTTGGGCGAGATGGAGGAGGCACAGAAGATGCTTGGCTTGCACATCACACTCGGCGGCTTCCCCATGAAGGCTTGGCTGAAGAAGGAGGACGGGAAGACTGTGCTGGCATTTTCCAATGGTGGGCGATGGAGCAAGCTGTGAATGACTGTGAAAGGCGGCATGCCTGCGGCGTCACCCGCGTTGCACCGTTGAAAGAGGGATGGTTATCGTAGATTTTTCATGCTTTTCCTGCTGATTGATACTTGTACAGGGCCCGCAACAGCTGAGCCGCCTGTGAAGATATTTGAAGGAGCAGCAGAAGCGATCACAGTATCACAAAATTGCACTTGCAAACAGAGAGACAACACGAGCTACTGGTGTTCATGGCTGCTGCAGGTCTCTCGACCCACGCTTCGCCAGCTCGAGGGAAGGACTGCAGGGATGCTTTCCAAAGCCCATTGCCTGTAGGATTGTAGGTGATGAGGTGCAGATGTATAGGCACTAGCTGCGATCAGCTTCACCTTAAAAGCTGTCGCGCTGCCAACTTCAGGAGAACTGCTTGGAAATCTTGCTCAGGCCTTTGAGGGTCCGGTCCCCAGCGACCCTTGATGTAGATGCTCGGGATGTTAGTCTGATGCGCAGCCGCCGCTGCACGGCCATGTGCATGCCAAGATGGCGATGTGGATGCTTTTGTGGAGAAGCTGGGTGACTTTGATGCCGGGAGCCCAGTTGAGCAGAATCTCCTAGAGCGAGAACCGGGGTCAGTCAACGATCCCTGAAGGCAATCAAGCCTCTCGACGCTTGGAAGACGGAGTTCCTGGTGAAGGCACTACTTCGCGCAGTATCCGAGGCTTGTCATCTCCCAGCGTTTCAGGTCAAGGAACATTTGCAGCCTTCCAATGCGCATGCTACAGAGGCTCAGAACTCGATGCCTTCAACCGACATTTGCCCATCACGGCTGGCAAGGCTGTGGACCTCTCCTAAGAGGCAATCGCCGGACGATTCCAGGAGGCTGTTGCTCTTTGAGCCGCGATCATTGCAGCATCGGCTTTGCTTGAGCAGTCTCACCGCCGTGTACAGAAGCGCACCCGTTGATCAGCAAGGCCTCAAAATAGCGGAGCTGCAATTCAATTCATGCGGGAACAGGGCAGAGACCTGCAGAGACATGCAGATACCGTTCAACGCAGTTTGCCGCTGGTGCTTGGTCCATCAGCTGAGTACAATTCGCACGACATGTGAGTAAGGAATGCCCCATTGATGGCATGTCTGCAGAGCTGACACGAAGGACTGTTTATATGAAAGGCAGAGCCTTGCGAAGATGCATATGAGCTACTGTCAAGATTCCCCTTACCAAGGAACCATTAAGGGTAAACATGGGGCTCCCTTTTGTAGTTTAGTATAGTCTCTAATATATCCCCCAAAAAGAACCCACGTCCATTTAATTGGGCAGGAAACATTGACTGTAGCACATATGATATGTTGTCGATATTATCTGCAAGATCTTGCCTCTCAGCTTTGAGTACCCTTGTCATAGCACAGGCAGAAAGGCAGCAAGCATTAGACCTTTCCACAAAAGAGAGATGACAAAGTGCTGCCGCCGCCCTCTGGGAATGCTTGTCTAAGCATTCTAAGCGTCGCCGTGACTGCAGGCTCTTGGTGCATGGGGGTGCAAGCTGCTGTGCCTCATGCAGATCTACCAAGGTTGCGCTGAAGTCATCCGCCTGGACCAAAGTCATGCAGGACATTACCCGAAGCCTGTAAATGCTGGTATGGCAATCGATGTCAACAGCAGGTTCTGCAGCTGAAAAGCGTGTCAGCGTTCAGCAAGAGCTGTCTTAAAGCATTGTAGGACGAGGGGATTGGAAGTGCTTTTGCTCATACCGCGTTCTCTCAAGGAGCTGTCCTTGGTGGAAGGAAACCAGCGACGTGACTTCGCGGACATCGTGCCTTCGGCGAAAGGAGCAATGGTCGTGCGAGAATGTTAGGTGAGATCAGGATTGCGGCCTGTTTCCAATCACCAGGAGTTTAGGACCGGATTGCAAGAAGACGTGCGCGGGGAATGGAAAAATCAGGTATGGCAAATTGCCGAGCGCCGGGGTTGCAATGAGTTTGTTGGCGCCTAAGTTTACCGTTCATGCGTTACCCAGTAGCACATATGCGGTGGCAGGTCGTCAGGTACGATTGTGGGCATTCACTTCGAGCAGAAGTCTCTGCGCCTCTACTTCCAAGCACGAAGGAGCTGGTGAACAGCTTCATGACTTACTGTTTTCATGGCAAATGGAACAGCTGGAAGGACTATGGCACCCATGAGACAGATCGCTCCCGATATGTGCAGCACTGCTTACATGTCCGGGGCTTTGCTTTGGTTTTTAACCCTGATAAGCTCATGAGTCTTAAGTCTCTGCAAAGGTCCTCACTCGGCATCCTGCTGAAACGCAGGCCTGACTGCGCTTGCTGTCATGCGGCTTCTCACAATGCTTGCTGTTCGAAGGTGCAGATTACAGTGCCAGAGGGCCGCTGTCGCCACTGCCAGCGCGGGCAGCGACAGACACTAGCATCTGAGCACGAACATTTGTACCAGTAGGAGGGCAGCTACAAGTGGGGGGCAAGTGGCATGCCTGCTCAGCTTGATCGTTGAAGCTTTTCAGGAATGTGTGCTCTTGGTTTTTTTCGAGAGATGCTGGAGGTATGCGGGCCCGTGCATACCGACCTGAGGCGGGCTGCTGCAACAAGCATTGCTCTTTTTTCATGTTCCGCATTAATGTCAAGAGCAAAGCTGCTCAACGTTCTGAAGTAATTCAGCTGACAAGTGCTCTGTTGCGGATGCAGAGTCCGCAGGGAGCCAGCCGCGCCGGGACTCGTTGCTAAGGCTCCAAGCTTTGACAGCTGCTGAGCGCAATGCATCGCTGATTGCACTAAGATTCAAATGTTGCGACTCCTGTCACGTGTGAAGGGTCTGCAAACAGCAAATGACAAGGAAGCAAGCGGCCAGCGAGAGTTTTATGAGGATTGCATTGGCTTCTTTCGCCTTTGCACTTCTGGATGTTGACAAGCAACATCAACCTCTTTCACTGCAAGTTGTTGCGTGCTGTTGCAATTTGCACCTAGAGTCCTCTTGATGCATGGCGATGGCCGTGACAGCAACAAAGTCAGTTAAGATGCTTCAGGTGGCTTGTATTCATTGACTTATACTACTTGTCCCCTAAGCCGTCAGCCAGTACCTGTAGCATTGTCCGCGTCATTTACAAACATATTCTATCTACTTAAGGGGGACTATAATCCTAAACCGTACACCCTAAATAGTAGTTTCCATTTTCTTTTCCATAATCACAAAATACCCCAATATATACCCTATTATACTAAAGTAGTTTCGATTTTCTTTTCCTTTATTACAATATACCCCATATTCTAAACCCTAAACCTGAAACCCTCTCTCTTTGGCCAGACATTGGGCCGCGGTCCTCTGGACGCCCTGACGCAAGCCAAGCGAGTGGAGCTTCCGATGACGGCGCACGCCTTCCTAACCACCATTGGGCAGGTAGGGTTAAGGGTTTAGGTCAACCACCATGGGGCAGGTGGTAGTTCCCCTCAGTAAGGGGACCCTCACTATAGACCCTCACGTACTACAATCCTTATTAGAACCCTCAAATGGTACCCCCAGTTTTGGGAAACCCCCAGGTGGGGACGGAGTCTGTAAGTTGGACAAAGGGAGTCTTCGTAGCGAGTGAGACTTTTTCGCGGACTCTTATGCTACATGCTTTGCATAATTTGCTGTTGAGTTAGCCTGGGACGGAGCTGTACCCTTTGGGCTCCGTAATCTGGGTTTGCGTGGCAGTGTCCTTTGAGTTTTGGGTGAGTGGCTTCTCCACATATAAGGCGTTCTCTGCTTGTCTCTGTGTGGCTTCAAGAAGAGGGTGGTTTATGTCTTCTGTTATGTGTGGCACTGGGGTTGAACAGGAGCTTGATTCTGGCCGGTTTAGTTTTAATACTGCGTCACACATTTCAGCTTGTGTTGAGGACCCAGATTTCAAGTTGGGCAGGTGAAGGAAGTAATCACTCGTTCGATGTTGCTACCAATTTGAGACCGGTATAAGTCGTGCCGAGTTCTTCTGAAGTCTTGAAGTCATGCCATGACCAAATTGGCACATCACATTTTATGGAAGCGCTCTCTGGCAATTTCACGTCACAGGTCTGCAGGATGCCTGAGACTGCCAACCTCCACCCGTTGGCAGGCTGGAAACCTGCAGTCTAGAAGATGATCATCCGTGGCTATTCACACCAAGACTCTTTGATGGCTCTCTGATCCTGTCATGGTTTAGCTCTACTTGCAATTGCCATTCAAAAGACAAGACTTTATGAGGCGCGCAGGAAGCCGTCCTGGAAATGCCCTGGGCTACGAAGCCGATGATGCCTAAAGAGGCTGTATGCTGCAGTCTGGGAATGCCTGCCATCCAGTTCCTGCCTGTCTTTGTCGTCATTGTAGTGACATAGTGATGCTACAAGTAAATGCAAATACCAAGCCATCGTCAGAGCTTTTGCCAGCCTTTGGCACGTCGAGATGAGTGCAGCTGTTGGTAGCTGTTGTGGAGTAAGTTCTTCGAACGGAAATCGCATTTGTCGAGCTTAGCAATTTGTTCATGGTGAGTGTATACTAACCATCTCCGCTGCTTAAGCATGTTTGCAGCAATGCGGGCAATCACTGTAAGTGACGTTCGGAATGCGCACCATCCGGGACGCAATGGCAAGCCTCAACCATTCCAAATTGTTTTCTCGTCTAAGCCACCCCTAACTATTCAGTGCTCTTGCAAGCAAGATGCTGTTTCCAGCTTCTTTGCACTTTTTTGGACATAGTTTGTAGCGGCGAGAGTTTAAGTAAGTACGAAGGGGCACGCTCAGCCATGTGCTATGCAAGCAAGGAGATCCACCAGTGGACCCGCAAGGAGATCGAGGACCAGTTGCAAATCTGGAGTCATTGTCATCATATGAGCTAGAGTCTTAACTCCTTAAAGGGGTTTATAGGGCATTATATAGGGGAGTATTATGGGGTCTTTAAGAGGGATACAAGGAGTTTAGACTATAACTCATATCGTCACAATCAAAGGCAACCTGCCCTTCCCGGCAGTTCTGTAGGTCACCTGTGCCCTGCAAGTTTTGACGGCGGCTGTTTGCTTTGGGCGAAGCACTGTCTCACGACCTTATCACGCCTCACAAGCGTGGGCCAATTAAAGAGGGAGCCAGGTAATACAGCAGCAAGAGGACGTCCGTTGGGCATTGTGAATCACCATGTCATGTGTAGTCGAGCACTGTTTAAGTGCTCTATTCAGCTGATTACTTGCACGCGCAAACACCTGGAGGACGATGTTGAGTCCATGCTCCTCAGGTATATCTGTTGCTCGGCCATAGTCTGCGCCTTAGAAACTGTGCACCCGCCTACTTGCATGGAGCTGCATGGACAGAGAGCTACATCCTGCGGCAGCAACACCTTGTGGCAGTGGTCTTTTTCAGATCTTTGTTGCATTCAGTTGCTCTTCGTCTTCTGCTTCGAAAGCTTCTACCACATGCTGACCAACCTTGCGCCGAACCAGCCGGACATCGCACATGGCCACATGCTGTTCCCCCTCTCAGCAAGTGGAGTGTTCAGATTTACAGATGCCTTTGGCTCGGCAGGACGAGGACGGGACCTTCAAGGAAGTCGACTACATAGGACTGTTGGAAAGGATGTTGGAATGAGTTGTCATCCAAGTCCAGTGAGCTTTCCGTCCTATTCTGGACGACGCATCAAGCCAGTCTTCCTTTCCGAAGAGGGCAGGCGAAATGCTAAGCATGTATGATACAGCTTTCTGGCTATCTACTGGTAATATCATCCGCCACACTGGCCACGCGCAATACCAGGACTGGAGCAACTAACCCCAGAGTTGGTGGTGCTTGGCAACCTCACCACCCTCAGCAGCCTGGAGCACCTTAGCAGCAATTTCAGCCGCTTTTTTTGGGGTACAAGGCCAGCTTTCAGTCCCCAGGAAGGCCGGCAAGGATCTTCAAACCTTGTTGCGCAGTTGCACGTCTTGGGTGCCAAGGTTAAGGGTGGCGAACTGCACCTGGATTATGTCAACATTGACTTATGCGGTGCACAAGGCAGAGTTTGCTGTTTCGATGCTTTGGGACGTGCCCTGAGCCGCTCCTCTTTTCAAGGCGCTTGCTCCTGGCGACTCTGACGGCCCTGATGCGCTTGGGAGCATCTCAGCCCTTTACAGAGTGTTTCTGAAGAAAGCAAGCGAGCCAGCGTTTCCCTCAACAAGAGCAGGCAATGCCCGGTATTTTTGGAGTGGCATTCTCCACCCTGCATGGGTGGGGATCCTGCTCGGGACGCTCGGTGTGCAGAAAAAGTCCAGCGTGGTGCAATGGCTTGGGTTTTAGCATGGAAGGTGCGATAATTTCCGACCAGGTGCACTCCCCTCCTCTTTGTCTTCGAGTTCATGATCACCATGCCTCGCTTTGTGATGCTGAATGCTGCCCAGCTTGAATTTCTTAACGTCCGCAAGATAAACGGCACACTGCTTAGCCAGACAGCAGATAGTCGTAGTAGCAAAGTGTGCACTGTCCGCATCACCAGCGGGACGGTGTGCAGAGCGTTTGTGGCCAGTGTGCACAAGATTTTGCAGGAGGAGAACAAATCAGACAAAAGGCCATAGAGCATGAGGAAGGCGGTCATGGACCCCACCGGGCAGCGGGTGGGCTGAACAGGAAACTGCTGCCTCTAAGTGCGCATCAGCCGCAATTGTGGTAATGCCATCGTTCGGTGTTGTAGTTTTGCAATGATTTGCAGGTCATGTTTGCGGGCGTTCGCATTCTCATCCTACAGCCCGGGCGTTTGCTGATTGGTTCTTGGGCTGCAAAGGGGGATGCTACTGCTACTAGCTTCGCAATAATGATACCTACCCATCATTAGTCTCAGTCAGCACAACACCAACTGTATGATTAATGTCATCAACGTTCTGCAACATGAAAATCATTACTTCCTCTGTTGCAGCTGGTTGAGATTTAAACTCCTGAGCGAGTGCTTTCCAGCACTAAGGTCTAGCAAGCAGCTTGCTGCTCTTTCTGACGCGGTCGCTGTTTTCGCCTCCTGCTATCTTAGTTCCGGGATTGCAAGAAGCTGCCGTTTGCTCTCTGCTGCAGATTTTGTTTCGTCAGGTTACTACGGTCCCTACGGCAAATCCAATCTTTGGCGCTGCCTTCATTTGCATCTCGCTGGCGGCCATTACATCGTGCGCGACATACCTTCCTTATTGAACAGTCCTGTCAATTGCTCAGCATTCATATGTGAAGAGGCCTGTTCCTCTTCTCCTGCTCGCGCGAGACCTCTGGAACACAACTGCCAACCTGACAGTGGTCAGGACACTTCTCTTGCATTCAGAGCCGATGCCAGGATATGCCACCAATCTTGATCACATGGTTATGTCATGTGCAGGAGACTCCGGCGAGCTGCCGCTGGGAACAAGGCGGCGTGCGCGAGAAGACGAACTGAGCTTGCCATTGACGGGCCTAGCCAGCTGACGCAGGCTCTGAACAAAGCCTTGGAGAGACTTCCGTTTGGCCAATCTTCGCGATCAAGAGGTGCATTGTCCAGAAAGCTTCTGAACATTGTTGGCCTGCTTTTGGGACGTTCTGTCCAAGGCACTTTCGAATCCCTGTTTTTCACATCCCTAGTTGGAGCCTCGTTCGTCTTCGTCATGGGCGTCCGTCAGGTGTGAGTACCCCTCGCTAATTTCTGAAGACGCTCACTGTGGCTCTAGCAGCAGAATCACGTTCCTATCGCACTTTCGTTCGGTAAACGCGTCACGTGTGCGTTTTTCTGGCTAGGAGGTACCATTCAAAAAATGCTCTTTTCGGAGAACCATGAAGTGTGAAAGATGTTGACACTTTTGGAGGCCCTTCGTTCGCAGGCTTGCTACCGTCACGGATTAGTCATCATTGATTGGTGTGTGTTACCCGAATGAGGGTCAATCTAGACATATCAAACTGTGCCTTTCAACTACGACGCTACGATGATCCCGAGCAGACTCATGATCTTGAGAGGCTTCCACATGGTCTAGACATCAATTATCTTGATCATGGTCAGCCAGGTACAGGAAGGGCTGGCGCAGCCAAGCAGAAGGATCCCAAGAGCTCAGACCGTCCAAATCGAAGCGATTCCGGCAAAATGCAGGCTGGGGCATGGGGACCTGCAGAAAGCATCTAGAAATTCTGGCAAGAGCGTCAGAGTTGGAGGTTTAGGCTTGTAAGCCCCAAGCCCCTCAAACCCTGAACTGCGCAGGGCAAGGATGACAAAGGATCAACTTTCGCTCCGCCTTGCTTCGTGTGCCTTGACAAGCCTTCCAGGCACGGAGTGCATGTAAGGGCGTTTCCAAGATTCAATTTGGGGTCTCCACTATCATTATAAGGAATGCAGTGTACATATATTGAGGTCTATGTAGGGGTCCTGCTAATTACGGAGATACTATGTAATCGGGACTCTTAGGGACCCTATTGGGCACTTAAATCGGAAGCCAACCGGTATTGATCTCTTTCGGGCAAGCGCTGCGATTAGGGTCCCCGGCTACCCAGCCAAGAGAGTAAGTAGACTCCGTAATATTTACATGAACATGAATTGGGGGTTGTGGCATACATGGGTTTCCTAAATTTGAGGTACCTTTTTCGGAGTCCCTCCAATAAGGATCATGTCTTGTTTGTGCTCGATCAGATACATTCTGGAGCCATGCGGGCATCGCGTGGTTTGTGGTGACTGCGCGGCCACGGCCTTAGAATTGGCGGGCTGGCCAAGGCAATTAGTAGTTTTTATAACGGCGAAATCCCGGCATAGACCCCCCCTGAACATTATGGTCTCGATTTTGAGAGACCCCAAAAGGAGATTTGAACTGTTCGGAAACTTCCAAACTGTTTGGCTATTGCCTTCCAGCCTCTTGTTTGGAAGGTGCAACTTGTCGATGCAGCAGCGAGGACCCGGACCGCTACAGAGGTGGGGGGCTTCTTTTGGCATGAGTAGAGGCCCATCGAAAGGGCTTAAACGGTTCTACGGGGGCATGGTCATGTAGGAATCTGGGATTGCACATGGGGTTAGGTGGGGGCTTTTGGGTCAATATCATGTTGAAATTTCTTTGAGGTACCCGATACCATATTTGTGCAAGGAATCTAGGACCATAAGATTGAGGAAGGTACTGGTGCAATGCCAAGCCCAAAGAATTGAAAGAACGGACGAGCCTTGGCCGCATGGACTGGAATTTGAAATTTAGGCAGACCGTGGCGGCGACCGTGGCGGCAATTGTCCTTCTTGTCACTTGGGTGCAACGTTATATCTGGAATCTGCAGCGATAGTCAATCCTAAATATTCAGGTGCCATGGCCATCAACCGGGCAATGCGGATCTTTTCATGAAGAAAAGAAATTCAAATGATAATGATTGGTTGATATAATCAATAGTAGAATCGGAAGGATGATAGGGGATATAGAAACGAGAATAAGATATTTAGATTTCCCAATCCCTAAGATAGCCCAAGATTTAGAAATCCAAATCCTATACGTATCTTATTTACCCCAAGGCCCCCCAATCTCCTCAAAAATATAGATCTTCTTGAGAGACGACGAAAAGAACCTGAAATCAATAAATCCTATAATTAATAATCTTCGATAGAACTAACTAACCCAACAATTAAATACAACCTCTTCTTAAATTGGGGAATATCCGTGCCTTTTTATTTATAGAAATTCATGATATACTTTTCATTCTAATCTATCCGAATATTTTTTCATAGTTTATTTGATATTTATAATGATAATATTTAACTTATATCAGGATTTTAATATTTAGATATATTCATAGAAATAAATATTTGAAAGATTTTCATAATAAGAATAGATATTATGATTATTTGGATTATAAATCTCTTTTTGGCTGTATGCGCGGCTACCCAACAGAGCAGTTGACTCCGAGATAGATAACCAACATCTTTCAGATCTATCTACGGAGATTTATACGAGATAGCCCAAGAGCTTGTCGAATCTTTGCTATATTTCCGGCTATCTACGCGGCGGGTCTCTGAAAATCTTTCAGAATCTATTAGGTTGATTATTTTTGAATATATGCGACTTTATATATTGATTATTCATTGATATTTACGTGCGAATTGACACGATTATTCGGAGGTATGCATAATCTTGCGATGGAGAAGATAAATCTTTCCCAATTTATAGGATATATGAGTTCCTTCCAATCGTCGCGTATCTAGAGCAAGAAGATAGATGAGATAGGAAGGACGGGCTATCCGAAAATTCTCGAGCTTTAAAATTATTTCTCTTTCTTTTGGCGGAATATGAAAATCCGGAACGGAGATCTAAAATTTTTCGGAATCTATATAGCACGTATGATATGAAAAGACAGATACTTTATCGATCTTCATATATGATCTTATATATTATTTGATTATCGGATTTCTCATTATATATTTTCTCAAAGAAATATTTTCTATTTCGCTAGTTAGCGGCTCAATTCTAAATTTAATGAAATGATATTAATGAAATTTATATTATATATCTTATATTCTATATGTTGATTATCGCCGACATAAATATATAATTATCTCTCGTTTTATTAATATATTCTTTCGGAATATCGATTTCTTATTGATATTTGAGTTGAATATAAATCGAAATTTTAATAATCACTATAGATATTTGATGATATTTTAAGAATCTTACAGATGAAAAATCAAGTAAAGAAATCGATAATTTCAATAATATATATTTTATGAAAGGTCTATATTTGATTAGATTAAATCATGATAATATTATCGATTATTTGAATGAATAAATATATGACGTTTTAAAATTTGAAGAAATCGTCTGAATGATAATTATATAAATATTTATTAGAGGAAGAAGATTTTATTATAAGATAATATCTAGATATCATAAATATTTCTGATTTTTCTTTAGATATATAGAAATATAATTATAGATTGATTCAGCTCGGAAGGTTGAAATTCAATTCTATTATAATCGAGATAAATATTTGATCTTGAGTTTGGGACGTAGTGATCCTGGTCCTAGCACTGAAGAATTGGATTATGAAATCATTATCTCTAAATATTTCTTAGGAATTCTAGTAGGCAAAGATTTTAGTTTTGCGTCATTCCTAAGAGAATCTTTGATTGGACGATGGGATTCTTTTATGCAGATGCTCTCCATAGGTCAATATACGAGATTTCCCATCTCTATCATATTAAAGGAAATCTGGAATAGGATGGGACCTGAGATGATATTTATTGATATATTTCTTTTTTCTATATGCGGAATAGAATATCAATTATAAATTTCAATAGAAATAGAGAAGATCTATTCTGGGAATCTCGAATGATTTTGCCTTTCAATAGATTCTGATTGTCGTGCAATCCGGATGATCCTCGCGCCCTGACTTATATATCAGTAAATATATAATTAAGATCTTGATAAGATTGCTGCTCTTATCTATAATATATCTGAGAATTCTATTTATTCGTATGGAATTACGCCATATTTATCGTAATTGGATTGCGGACGTGATAGGGGCACTAGGCAATGAAGGTCTTCTCAGATCGATTTTCTTGCTCTACGAGATCAAATAATTTAGGATTCTTCAATTGATAGAGATTCAGAATGATACGATATTGAGAAAAGATTTATCGAGATAATATAGAATTGAGGCGGAAAGATCTATTTTTTTAGAATAATATTATATGATAGGAGATAAAATCTAGGACTTATTTTTCAAGATTCATATTATCTTTTGCTGATCTTGAATATTCGGATTTGGAGAAATGAGATTTATATCCGAGATTTTACGATTCTATTCTAGTTCTTTGGTTTCCCTCTGGCATCACGAGAATACGTTCAATCTATTTGATTGAAGATATGAGATTCTCGTTATATCTCGTTTATTGCTTATCATATGGCGAACGGAATGGGGTCGTAATTCATTTATTTTTTCAATATCTATCTATATAATATTTCATTGATGAAGCTAATTCTATCTTGAATCTCCCGGATAGGAATCAGGTCTAGCCTTCTTTATATTATATTAATATTATTCGTGATGAGATATCGATATTAATATATCAGAAGATAATTGGGATCTATATCCAATTGTTGGGCGGCCGTCTACGATATATTCAAAGAATTTTTTCCAAATAGGAATAGCTGGAGGAATCTTTAAGATATTATTTTCGATTTAGGAATAATTATCTAGACGATTCAATTACGTCGAGAAAGGATGAATAATGAAAGATCTATTTCGTCTTTTTCCTTGATCTCGTAGAATATGCTAGTTTGGACTATCTAGGAATCCGAATTGCGGTATTCTGCGCCCTTGCAACTAGATAATATGAAATACGAAAAATTTTTGATATTCATTCATTTATTAAGATCTTATTCAATCGATATTTGATTTCCAGAATGAGATATCAATAGATTCGAGAATAATATATAGATGATCAAATCGGAAAAAGAATCATTTATCGATAAATCGAAATACGAAGAATTTGATAGATATCTTAGTTATTAATTGATTATCATAGAATCGATATTATATTATTTAATTTGCGATTTAAATTAGATATAAATAATTTCTATATCTTATAATCTATTTCTTTCGATTTTCCAGCGTCAAGATCATGATCTCATTTTCGAATTATATTCTTCAAACATATGATTGAACGTTTTTCTTCCCGAATATTCAATAATGATATATCTTCAAAATTTATTTTTATTGAGATCTAAAATATGAAGAATCTATAATCTTCTTGAATATATCAAGAATTATTTCAAGAGATTTATTCGTTCTCAATTGCATTTGCGTATGATTATCAATTTAGGATCTAGAATATAATTGGACCTCCCGTCATCATTTATCAAAAGATCTTCTTTTCCGAAAGATTATATATATCGTTATATTGAATATACGATTGAATACGGAATTCCCTGGATTTCATAATATCTTTTAATATTGAAAAAAATTCATATTATCAATTATCTTAGAGAAGATGATAATTATGATTTTTATAATCTTCTCTATATCTATATTCTTCGATTTCCAGATATGATAATATTTCTATCGAAATTAGAAATAATAGATTCGATTATAATCTCGTCTCTAGAACGATCAATTGATATCCTCATC